TATATCTATATCTATATATATATATATGTGTGTGTGCACAAACAGTTGCCTGCAAACCTAAATGAACTGTCTCAAAGTTGTAAAAATTCCAGGGTGCAGCTTATCAGCAGCACGGTATGGAGATCTGCCAGTTGTGTTTGCTGCTGGAAGATCCCACTAGTGCTCTACAGAGCTTCCATGTTAAGCTTTGATAAATGAAAATAACAAACTTGGGCTGTACTGAATCCTGTACAGTGGTCATTCGTTACATAAGCGATGGATGGGTGCAGCTAAAGGTGGTTTTGCATCTTGGCTTAGTTTTTGTTAAATAAATAATGGCGTAACATGCCATGTTAATCTGTGATTGTCTTTACTGGATATTTTTATTATGCCTATAAAACCTTAGCATTGAACGAGGGTGTACTTTCTTTTTAAGAAAATTACCCAACTGCTCACTTGATTAATAATGAATGTGTTACTGAGGACTTTATGGTCTTCATAGCTTCAAGACCAAGATGCACAAAACAATTAGTGACATTATATCCATTTTTGTGCAAATTGTCGAATTCAAGCACGATCATTTTAAATAATTTTAATGATAACAATGTAATATCTGTTTCTGAACCGTACACCTTCAGCTCTGCCTTCAGTGTTGCTCCCAGAAAAGGCAACAGTGAGAGAAGGACAGGAGAAAACCATACAGTGTGATGTAACAGGTTTCTACCCAGAGAAAGTGGCTGTGACGTGGCTGATCCAAAATGGCACCCAGACCATCCATGCAGGGTTGGGCCAACTGTCCCGTGTATGCAATGAGCTGGCTGTACACAATCCAGATGGCACCTACAGCATTCGTAGTGGCATCACGCTGCACTCCTCAGTTCTAAGGGGTGGAGAAATACATGTCATCTGCCAAGTTGAGCACCAGACCTACAATGGTCTGTACAACCGATCTGTAACACTGGCTGTTCAAGGTGGGATTTTATTCATTTATTCTTTGGATCGCTTGATTTCATAGATACATAGTGGTATACTGTAGCGCAGGTAATCAGAAGATTGATAGTTTGATCCCTGGCTGCTCCAGTCTGCATGGCAAAGTATCCTTGGACAAGAACCAAAAGTTGCTCATTGGCGTATGAGTGCGTGTGAATGTTAGACAGGAAGCACAAAAAAGCAAAGTACAAAGCAAAAGCGCCTGTAGTTCACTTGAGTTTTCCAGTAGAGAAGAAAAGCACCATATAAGAACCATTCCATTTAATATTTACTATGTTACTTTCATGTGCTTTTCCTTCAGCTCCATCAGAGCCGCTTCACAGTACAGCCACTGTGATAGCTGTTACAAGTGCAATAACTTTGCTACTGGTCACCTGTGTTACTGGAGGATCTTTATATCTCTACAGATATTTTTACAAAGGTATGTATCAACACAGGCACATTTTTTTTTGTTAAATTTTGATAATTTGCTTTGCTTGGTCTTATTTGAATGCGATAATGTCAGATGTTCACATTAAAGATGTCTACAGATTTAACAAATTTGGCAACTATGTGTAAATTAAGGGAAAAACTACAGCTTAAGTTGTAAGCCTAATCTTAAAAGTAGAGAAGGTGTTCTTTCCCAAATCCAAACTGGAAGCTGGTTTCACAGAAGAGAGGCCTGAAAGCCTCCTGTTCTACTCCTCCCATTCTACTTTCAAATACTTTAAGAACCACAAGTAAGCCCGCAGTCTGAAAGTGAATTACTTTGTTGGGGTGATACGATACTATGAAGCCTTTAAGACAGAGCCTGATTATTCAAGACCTTCTATGTGATGAGAAGGATTTTAAATTCAATTCTGTATTTAGGGAGCCTTTTTTTATCCCTTTATTACCATCCCTTTAAAGTTTTACCTAGATATCATAAAGTTTGTTTGATTTTGAAAAAGTTTGATTTCATTAAAATGAAAAGAAAATGCTGCTATTTCTCTTCACAGTTCCATTTAATGTTTCGGAAATCAGTCAGCCCAACATCATATACGCTCAGGTGCCCACAGAACTGAAGTGCACCATTCAGGGAGCCACAAGGTGGGAGCTCAAAGTGAAATGGTTTAAACAAAGAACCAGTCCAGACTCAGTGATTCAGTCAGAGTCAGGTTCTTCAGATTCCCTGCTGGAGACTGAGGATCTCAGCGAGCGGGCTTGTCTGCAGTCAGATGGCAAAAATCACACATCTCTCCTGCCTGTATTTCTGACTGTTACTGAAGACCAAACCAAATACCAGTGTGTAGTGTGGTGCAAGGACAGGAGCTTCAGAAGGGAGACCACAGTCAAGGTTAAAGGTGAGTAGTTTTGGCTTTGGGAGCAGATTATCAGACAGGGCACTCTGAGAATTCAGCTCAGTGGGGAAATCCTCAGCCCGGTTTCATAAGAAAACATGTTCATGTGCACACAAACTGTTACGTTTTATGTGAGTGTGAGCATGGATTTGTACTTAAAGTTCTTTTAATAATATGACAGAAGCATGATGTTTCAGAGAAACACAAAGTATCACACACTGAGAAAAGAAAGCTATTCTTCCCAAACCACAATCTTTTTCTAATTATACGTTTTTAATCCCTAACCTCAAACAAGCTGTTTGAAAATCTGTGATGTGTATGACTTGAAATTGTCATACGCAGCACAGTGGCAAACGTTTTTAACTCCGCCCCCAATTCCTCTTATCACTAAAATGCAACCTTTAAAAGTGGGAAATATTCAATATGTGCAAATGGACATGAACTGGTACAGAAAAAAAAACTATAAAATTTGTTTCCAGGAACAAATAACAATAGATTAAAGATTAAATATTACAACTATTTCGAGAAATGTCATGAGACTGTGTTGGAATCCCATAATGCCATGCATCCTAACTAAAAGTTTAACTGGAGAAACACGTGACCCAATCCACGTGTACCAGTAAGTGCAGTAGGCATATTTAATCCTATTTATAGAAAAGAAGTCATGATTGTGTTGAAATTCTATTTATCTATATTACATTATATAATTAAGTTCTGTACCATAATTTATATACATATAGTATATATAGCTACAGTGGGGCAAAAAAGTATTTAGTCAGCCACCGATTGTGCAAGTTCCCCCACCTACAATGATGACAGAGGTCAGTAATTTGCACCAGAGGTACACTTCAACTGTGAGAGACAGAATGTGAAAAAAAAAATCATGAATCCACATGGTAGGATTTGTAAAGAATTTATTCGTAAATCAGGGTGGAAAATAAGTATTTGGTCAATAACAAAAATACAACTCAATACTTTGTAACATAACCTTTGTTGGCAATAACAGAGGTCAAACGTTTACTATAGGTCTTTACCAGGTTTGCACACACAGTAGCTGGTATTTTGGCCCATTCCTCCATGCAGATCTTCTCGAGAGCAGTGATGTTTTGGGGCTGTCGCCGAGCAACACGGACTTTCAACTCCCGCCACAGATTTTCTATGGGGTTGAGGTCTGGAGACTGGCTAGGCCACTCCAGGACTTTCAAATGCTTCTTACGGAGCCACTCCTTTGTTGCCCGGGCGATGTGTTTTGGATCATTGTCATGTTGGAAGACCCAGCCTCGTTTCATCTTCAAAGTTCTCACTGATGGAAGGAGGTTTTGGCTCAAAATCTCACGATACATGGCCCCATTCATTCTGTCCTTAACACGGATCAGTCGTCCTGTCCCCTTGGCAGAAAAACAGCCCCATAGCATGATGTTTCCACCCCCATGCTTCACAGTAGGTATGGTGTTCTTGGGATGCAACTCAGTATTCTTCTTCCTCCAAACACGACGAGTTGAGTTTATACCAAAAAGTTCTACTTTGGTTTCATCTGACCACATGACATTCTCCCAATCCTCTGCTGTATCATCCATGTGCTCTCTGGCAAACTTCAGACGGGCCTGGACATGCACTGGCTTCAGCAGGAACACGTCTGGCACTGCGGGATTTGATTCCCTGCCGTTGTAGTGTGTTACTGATGGTGACCTTTGTTACTTTGGTCCCAGCTCTCTGCAGGTCATTCACCAGGTCCCCCCGTGTGGTTCTGGGATCTTTGCTCACCGTTCTCATGATCATTTTGACCCCACAGGATGAGATCTTGCGTGGAGCCCCAGATCGAGGGAGATTATCAGTGGTCTTGTATGTCTTCCATTTTCTGATGATTGCTCCCACAGTTGATTTTTTCACACCAAGCTGCTTGCCTATTGTAGATTCACTCTTCCCAGTCTGGTGCAGGTCTACAATACTTTTCCTGGTGTCCTTCGAAAGCTCTTTGGCCTTGGCCATGGCGGAGTTTGGAGTCTGACTGTTTGAGGCTGTGGACAGGTGTCTTTTATACAGATGATGAGTTCAAACAGGTGCCATTCATACAGGTAACGAGTGGGGGACAGAACAGCTTCTTACAGAAGACGTTACAGGTCTGTGAGAGCCAGAGATTTTCCTTGTTTGAGGTGACCAAATACTTATTTTCCACCCTAATTTACAAATAAATTCTTTACAAATCCTACCATGTGGATTCATGGATTTTTTTTCACATTCTGTCTCTCACAGTTGAAGTGTACCTCTGGTGCAAATTACTGACCTCTGTCATCATTTTAAGTGGGGGAACTTGCACAATCGGTGGCTGACTAAATACTTTTTTGCCCCACTGTATATACCAGACTAGGAGGCACAGTGGCTTGGTTCAAATGCACTGGCTGTGGCCTCTGTAGAGTTTGCATGTTCTCTATACATGTGCTGGGTTTTCTCCAGGTTCTCTGGCTTCTTCCCACAGTCCCACATGTCCCCAAAGACATGCAGTTATTGGGGTTAGTTGGTGAATCTAAACTGCCCATAGGTGTGAATGTGAGTATAAATGTTTGTCTGTCTCTCTGTGTTAGCCAGAGACAAATGAAATGAAATAGGAAGTTTGCCAGATTTTGGGAAAATAAACACATGATCCTATTTTAAGTGGTGTCTACATATAAGGCGACATAATCGCACCAAGCATCTTTGATTCATATATCCGATGACATCATTCCAAAAGTCCTCATCTTTGGCTTTTACTTCCCATGAGATTAATGAAAGATTCAACGATAAAATTTATGCTAGATCTTCTTGTCACAACCCCAAAGGGGATTTGTAAGAAAGCACTAAATGTTTGTGTTACTGGAAACTTCTGGTTTTTTTTGTTGTTGTTGTATTTAAATTAAACAATCTCATTTGGGGCTGCATGTCTTGCCAATCCTGAAAAAAACTACTTTCATTGTTATTTAACGACAATCATTTACAGTTTGGTCCAGATATATTAGAACACTAACACAAGTTTTGTTTTTTTACCTGTTTACTGTAGTTTGACAATGGACATTGAACATTATGTGTATCTCCAAAGGTTGATTCTGTTCATCTGGACGTAGCGTTTTGTGGGAGAAACGTTAAGATTAAGGAACTGACCTCCCAGCCCATTGTTCCTTCAGTGGGCTGGTTTCAGTCATTATGCAAATGTACTGTTTATAAGATTGGAACCTGCAGTCAGCTGAGACTGAAGAAGTCACCTGGATGAGTGACGAAACGTTTCTCCCACAAAACGCTACGTCCAGATGAACAGAATCAACTTTTGGAGATTTACTTTCCTGGATGATTGAGCATGCATCAAAACAAAAGTAATTGGACAGTTCACTCAAAGTGCTACTTCACAGGCAGGTGTGGGCAATTCCTTTGTTATGTCATTATCAATTAAGTAGATAAAAGGCCAGGAGTTGATTTAAGGTTTGGTGCTTGCATTTGGAAGCTTTTGCTGTGAACAGAAAACAGGTGGCCAGCTCCATGCCGTTGAAAAGAAGCCATCCTGAAGCTGAGAAAACAGAAAAAACCCACTCCTAATATTGGTACAATAAATTGAGTGGCAAAATCTACAGTTTGGTACATCCTGAGAAAGAAAGAAGCACTTGTGAACAGTGGTGGATGATTGCAGAATTATTTCCATGGCGATGAGAAACCCCTTCACAATAGCCAATTAAGTAAACAACACTCTCCAGGGGGGAAGCATACCACATCATCTGTAAAACACAGCAGAGGCAGTGTGCATGGCTGTTAGTGGCACTGGGACACTAGTGTTTACTGATGATGTGACAGAGGATAGAAGCAGCCGAATGAATTCTGAGGTGTTCAGGGACATACTGTCTGCTCAAATCCAGCTAAATGGAGTCAAATTGATTGGGCAGTGTTTCATAATATGGATTTACAATGACCCAAACAAACAACCAAATCAACTCAGGAGTTTATTAAAGCAAAGAAGTGGAATATTCTTGAATGGCCAAGTCACCTGATCTTAGCCCAACAGAGCATTTCACTTGCTGAAGACTAAACTTCAGACACAAAGGCTCACAAACAGACAGCAACTGAAAGCTGCTGCAGTAACAGCCTGGCAGAGCATTAAAAAGGAGGAAGCCCAACATCTGAGTTCATACATGAGTTCAAGACTTCAGGCTGTCATTGCCAGCAAAGAGTTTTCATACAAGTGTTAGAAATGAACATTTTCTTTTCAGTTATTCAATCTGTCCTGTTGCTTTTGAGCCCCTGTAATAAAGGGATTGTGTTAAGATTGCTTTGGTTCCTCACATTTTATTTTTATCTTTTTGTTCAATCCACTGAATTAAAGCTGCAGGTCTGCACTTCAACTCCATCTGAGTGGTTTCATTTCAAATCCGTTGCAGTAATGTACAGAACCACAATTAGAAAAAAGTTGTCTGTGTCCAAATATTTATGGACCTAACTGTATTTATGGTATGACACAATCTTAGCTTTTTCTACCATTAGCATGTTTGACTACATAATTTAATTATAAAATTATGCCTGTTGACTGACTTCATTTTCTTCTCATGTACTCTCCTCCCACCACACACACATATTTCCAGTAGAACCATCTTTTCTTAAGATCTCCAGCATTCCTCAGATCCCAAAGGTGGAGAGGCTGCTGGTTCTCTGCTGCCGCGTGGAGAACTTTTACCCCCAGGACATCGACCTGGAATGGTACAGGAATGATGGGGAGAAGGTCCACCTCGTCACTCACTTTGGCCCCTTCTCTGACCAGAGCCGCCTCTACAATGTGTGGAGTAAGATCGAGCTCATCATGGCCATAGAGGATGAGAGGGCCATGTACACTTGCCGTGTTTACCACTCCAGCTTCCAAGCTCCGGGGTACAAGGATGTCTTTTACCACATCAACACTCAAGGTAGCAGCTTCAAATGTTTTAGATTAGATGAGATTAGATGAAACTTTATTAATCCCTCGGGTGGGTTCCTCCAGGAAATTCAATTTCAGGGACAAAGGAGTTTTTAAGTCTGTTGGTTCTTGACTTTGGGAGAAGCAACCTGTCGCTGAACAGGCTCCTCTGGTTATTTATGACCGTGTGCAGAGGATGCCCAGCATTGTCCGTAATGTCCAGCAGTTTCTTTAGTGTCCTTTTCTCTGCCACTGTCACCAGAGTGTCCAGCTTCATGCCGACCACAGAGCTAGCCTTTCTGATCAGTTTTTCCAGCCTGCATGAGTCCTTCTTTACTGTGCTGCTCCCCCAGCACACCACAGCATAGAAAAGTACTCCAGCAAACACCAGCTGGTAAAACATCCTCAGGAGCTTCCTGGAGATGTTAAAAGACCTGAGCCTCTCTGATTAGATTAGCTGGTTAAGAAAATGTCCTGGTGATGATGTAGTATGCAAAGGTCTTGAGACACCCCCTCATTTCTTTATATCTTGCTAGGAAATGGGACCTAGATGCAGTGATTTATGAAACATGCAGACATAAATGGAAATATGTCTACAGTAAAAATACCACCATGCATAGCTCCTGATAGTTTTCCATGGTCATAATTCTATCAATTTTGACAACATCCCAAACACCACTAGTAGCCCCAAACATGACAGTCTCCACAATGTTTACAAATTTATTTCTCAAGGACATGATACTAATCCTATAGATAGTTTTAAGGCCTCCCACTTTTTCTTTTGTCCTCTTTCGTGTTTTGTAGTTTCCTCAAAGTTTTTAAGGACACGCTGAACCTTTCTGCTAAGATATGACAGCTAATGGAAAATTTTTGTTGGTGTAAAAAGACTATAACTGTGTTATAGATTCAAAATTGAACTATAGAAATTGGAATAAATCAGGTGTGTGTGTCACAGGCTGAAAACGGTGCCTAAAGATACAATTTGTAATTGGTTTGTTGCTAAGTTTTCTGTTATATGTTCACACAGCACTGGTCAGAGATCAGTCTGAAAATGGTCAGAGGCATATAAGAGGTCCCTTTCTGGCATTAAATTGATTGCAATTTATGGTAAATCACAACCTGACCTTCAGAGTCAAAGGTAGCAGAGACCATGATGCTCTGGGAAGATAGACTAGTCAGTGTTAAAAAGGACTACTTTTCTATCAGCTATGATGACAGGTTTATGTTTCTTTTTGATGTGTTAAAAGAAACTGGAGTCAAATTCCCAAATGTCAGAAAATAAAACAAAGTGACTAAACTAGCTTTAGCTACTGATGATCTGTGAAACTGTACACTCATTGGCTAACAACTTGTCCTCCTCATCACATCTGGGGTTTTACAACCAGGATGGTGATGACAGAAGCTTTAAAATGGTACTTTAGAAAGTAGCGGGTCAAGGTATCTTTTTTGTTGTCTATGCCTCACTATCCTAAATCTACTTACTATCCTAAATTTCAACCACATCTTATAGTTTTTTGGGTTTTTTTGTTACCAGTAGGATACTTTAGACTTGTAATTAGCAATTTAATTATTTAAAATTTTACTTTGAATTACTACTTTATTTCCATTCCACAGTTTGCATTTTCTTTCTCATTGAAAATTATACAAACAAGAGTTATTCAAAATGATCCTTCAATATCAATATATCCATAATGCTTTACTACATGTGTTGCTTTGTTCAAACAGGAACCCCCCCTGATGTGATGTTCATCAACCACGAACCTCAGTGTCCTAAAGTGAATGAAGAGTGTACTTTGCACCTGCACATAAAAGACTTTTGTCCTGAGGAGGTGTTGGTGACATGGACTAAAGATGGAGACAAGGTTGTCTCTGGTGTCTTTAATACTCCCCCCAGCCTGAACGTCAACGGCCTGTACTCCATGTTCAGTTTCCTCAAACTCAATCCCACCAAGAATTACCAAGGCTGCACATTCAAATGCCAGGTGGTTCATAGTGCTCAGAAGGAGCCTGAGGAAAGGCTCTTCATATTTCCAAAACTCTGCCTGACAGACAGCTGTTGATGTCTAAACCTACTTTGGACCATTTCACATCTGGGGAGTAAATAATTTTAGTTTTAATTCTGCAGTTCTGCTGACTACAAAACTGTAAAACAGAAAACAAAAAAAATTGAAATGCTTTAGTTTGATATCTGCAAATTTTATCCTGCCTGAATATCACTTTAGGTTAAACAGGCTGGGTTATCCGCATTTAAGACTGCTATAAACCTTTTCTGACAATCTTAAAGACCACGTGATGCCCTCTGGATAATACAATAGCCATTTCATTATTATTTTTTGTTTTTATCACACACAATATTGTATTTCATATAGTTAACAGTGTCAGTTAACTATTAAGCCATTAAACTAACTCTTCTAAGGTGATGCTAGGCGCTCTACCTTTTAAGCTACCTGCAGAGTTAGTGCAGTCAGTGCACACGCTGCTTTGAATTTACTCTAAGTTTTGAGTAACCTTGGTTTCATTGCTATATGTTCCTATATGTATTCTAATTGCTGCATGTTTTTTTGTTCTATTTTTTGTGTGCAGAACATTTTTATTTGTATAGCAAACTGTAGTTTGTAGTTGCAAACAATTTCAAGTTTTGTTACAAAGATTGTTGAGAGAGGGACAATTGTTTTGTTGTTGTTTTCAATTAACAGAATTAAATGTTGAAACACAAGTAAGTGTGTTCTAATTCCTTAAAAATTATTATTTTAATTTCAATTTATAATTTGTGTATTCCAGTTACAGTGTCACAATGTCATTTTAATTAAGTGAAAATTTACATGATGTGATAAAGCAGGGGTAATCAATTACAAACCCAACAGGTCCGGTTACTAAGATTTCTTTCACAACAAGGTCCAGATCTCAAGTCTTTTTCATCCCATGGATTAGGGTTAAATCGAAACCATATATTTCCCTTTCATTATAGTAATATTTAAGTTTTTGTTCAAATTAGGACACATGAGTAACAGAGTGAACTTCAGGCCTTACTTGCAAATAATAAAAATATTCTTTTTCAATTTTAAAATTTCTATTTTCTGAATCAACTTTTTTCACCTTCAGTTGTCTGTTCCTCTCTATTTTGTGTCTGCAGTAAGCTATGGTTTGATTGGCTTACCTAACTACGTAAACAGTAGGCGATTACTGTAGGGACTGGTTTACCTGCGACCATAGTTTTATGGTGTACTGATAAAACAGTGCTCTGGGTTTATGCATTACGGGCAAATTTTTTCTGTCACTGATTATTGGTCTGGACAGAACGAGCACTTCGTCTGGATCTGGACCAAACTCTGCCATTTGGTGATATATGTGATAAAGCAACCCAACATTAAAAAAAAAAGATCAGGTAATCAGGTAATCAGGTGATTACCGTGATCAGGTAAGGTAAAGCAGGGAAATGCCCTGTAACTTACTTTAAAACGAAATATGTTCCCTAAAACGGTGGACAGAGCTACAGACCCATGACACCCTGTGCAGTTAATAAAAGGACAGGTAATGTTTGTCGCGCTGTCGCACACACAGTACACTCATTTGTTTCAGTTCATCAGTTGCCACAAGACAGCTTACCAACATGTACACAATAACCTAATACTCCTGTGTCCTAGACGTCACAAGAACGTAACTATACTTTAGTTACTATAGATGAAAAAAAATATCTTCTTGCTGGATGCAGAAATGTTAAATTATTATTAATTTTATATAGATGCTACTCTGAAAGTGCTGCTTGAGCCTGGATTTGCCTGTTTTATTAGACAGATGGTCAGAGCTGGTGTCCCCTCTCCATCATCGTGTCCATCATTGCTAATAAAAGGAGTTATTTACAACCTCTTCACATGCCATCTTCTCCATATCACCAAGGTATGAGGAAACTCATCTGTCACAATGATAAATCTCTGAAGCTTGTTTATTTGCTGGATGTCTTTCTGCACAACTGTAGCTGATCTCAGAGTGGTGAAAGAAGAGGCAGTGGCCTTGCTCTGTTAAACCAGTGCCAATCTGCCACTGATTTAAGGTTAAGGTTACTTTACTTACACCTGTAGGTAAATTTACTTTACAGAAGAATGCTTGTGCACACGCCCCGTCAATTTAACGTATCATCCAAATGGTTAAAAAAAGATTAAGCCATAGTTGTTATGAAAAGTGTCCATAGAGATTAAAACAGTTATCTGTACTTATTTGTACCAGGTTTTAAATGTTTATTTCTCAGAAAGATTAGTATTTTACTTGTATTGCACTGGTGTATCAAACTGATTTGAAGGAATTACTGCTCTCTGGTACACTGCAAAGCAATAAGTTAACACTTAATAATTGAGCTTCCTGTATTGGTGCTGCTTATATTCATGGGTCTCACCAATATAAGATGAGACACTCGTAACAATCAAATGTGAAGCAAAAGCACACAGAAAGCTCCAGATGTGCCTTTATTCATTTACAGCACATTGCTGAGAGTTATAACAAAGGTTCAAAGTACACAGCTTTGCCAAAAAAATAAAAAAACAGTGGTCCTTGGAAAATATTAACATTTAAACACAAAAAAGTGTGGAACCAATTATGACTTGATGACTTTCAGAATGCTTTTTTTCCTGTCTGTGACATAGATGAGCACACTGAATCTCTGAGTCAAAGCAAAGCAAATGATTATATAGTAGGTCAGTATAATCACAAACTGCAGATGCATTATAGAGAATTCATAACTTATTAACCACACTGGGTAAATCTGGAACACAAAGCAAATGCTCAGATTTTTTATTCTCAAACATCTGTAATTATTCAGTTATGGAGTCCTTTTCTTAAAAATTTAAATCTTTTTAAAATTACAGAAACACATTCTTACAACAATAATCAAAATAAATACTAAAGATATTCTAGGCTATTCAGAGGTGTGCCTGTATCTCTTTGTTCTAAGGATATTTTTAAACCACCTGACATCTTCAGGACCTGCAGGTCCGTTTACATTTGGCAGAAACTTGAGCTGATTTTGGTCATATTGCAGTTATGTCTGCGACATTCATGTACATACTCCCTAGTTATCTGATATTCTAACATTTTTCAGACATATAAGGCATATGAAGGTTGAACAGCCAACTACATCCTCTTCGTAGTGAATGCAGTTCACCCCAGCTCCACAGTAAGTCGTAGGTGTAACTCCATGATGTTGAGATTTTTTTTTTCAACTAAGCATTCACCATAAATTGGTGTTACAGCAAAAAAAAAGGAAGAAGAAGATAAAGAAAAATCTAGCTGACTTAAATCCAAAAGGTTTGCTCTAACCAGAAAATTGCCCAAGTACAAAAATACAACAATATATTGCTATTGTTAGTGATGTGACTGGTGTGAAATCACTACAGAAAAAATCTTTATCTGAAGCAACTGTTAGGGCACTTTGGAAGCATACACAATCAACTCACTCAGACGCCATCTAAAAGTGTAAAACCTGAGTCCATCTTGACAGTAGCATTATTGACAAATTTAATGTAAAAACAGACAAAAAATAAGAGCACGCTGTGGAGACTGGCTGATCAGCTGAAATCTCGGTTGGTGAAGACCATGGGGGCCACCAGTGTCCATGTGTACAAAGCCAAACAAACCCAGCTGGAGGTGATTTTCACCCATACTGCTGGCCACTTGCTTGTTATGGTGTAGTCTGTATTAGGGCTGTCAGAACAAAAAAATGCAATAAGTATATTTATAAAAAACTGAGAAAGCTACTTTAAGAAGGAAATTCCTTAACTTGTTCAAGCAGAAATCACAAAATCTCTGCACCTCAGAAAAATAAGGTCAGCATATCAATTATACAGTAGGAGATGCCTTTGCTTGGCCTATATGGTGCCATTAAACCCCTAATGAAACATTGTGGGACCATTTACAGTTTTAACAATGAGTTATGAATTTCCTAATATAAATAAAAGCACAATGGACTGACAGCTGCACAGAAAACTAGATCATAATCAAAAAAAGAGTTCAAAACAAAAGATGAAACTGATATGCAAATTCAGTAGACCATTGTTGTCCTCATTCTTCTTGGTACTACTTGACCGAATAATACCAGCCGCAGACACCAATAAAGGGCAATTCTGGATATTTAAACCATTTTCTGGGTTATGTTAGTGCCAGACTGTGACTCTCATGGTCAACCATAACATTTGTGTCATATCACATGTCTCCCTCTGACACAAAAATAATTGGATGTGTTTTGGTTTATAACCTATTTTGAATGCATTGCTTCATATAGCATTTATCCCTTCTGTTGTTTAGTTTCTGTCAGTCTGGTTCATGCATCTGAATGGATACAATTGCATGAAACAGTGTTTGTCACACTTAAATGTTTCACATCATCAAACAAATGTAAATATTTGACAATAATATGCAGTTTTTTCAATAAAGGTTTTAAAATAAAGATCCAAGGAAATTCAGGAGAACTGAGAATCAAAGTAATTGAGATATTTCAGTGTGGAAAAGGTTATGAAGCCTGTGGGACTCCAGTGAACCACAGTGAAGCTTCCCAGGAGTGGCTGTCTGTTTAAAATTACCCCAAGGATGCAGCGACAACTCATCCAAGAGCTCACAAAAGACCCCCAGAATGCTTTTGTGAGCTCTTGAAAAAAAAATTGAAAAGAAGAAGAATGCTTGGACACTGCTAGCACACAAACGCAATGCAGAGGATGAAGCATCACCAAATATGTTTCCAAACCAGCTTCCTTCCAAAACCCTCCAATGTGGCTGAGTTACAACAGTTCAGCAAAGATGTGCAGGCCAAAATTCTTCCCCAGCGCTGTAAAAGACTCATTTCCAGTTATTGCAAACACTTGATTGCAGTTGTTGCTGCTAATGGTCCCAACCAGTTATCAGGTTTAGGGGGCAATTACTTTTTCACACAGGGCCATCATTTTAATTTGTCTGATGCTCTGAAACATTTAAGTCTGACAAACATACCAAAAAATAGCAAATCAGGAAGGGGGAAAACACTTTTTCACACACTGTATAAAAAGGAAATGAAATAAACTACCATTCACATATTGTAGGATTATTGACCACCCAAACACTTCAAAC